GAATTCTAGTTGGGGTTTCTCAGAGAAGTGTAGCTCATTTATTCATTCAAGTACCTGCTGTGAGCTAGGTGCTGGATTGAATAGCCTTAAAGATCCCTTTTGATTTTAAGAATCTAGAATTCCAGGATAAAGTTGAAGTGGGACTAGGAGAATTCATTGGATTCTGTAGAACAGAGACAAGAAAGGACAGCTTTCCATATCATGTTAGTGAAGGATAGTGGTAGGAATGATAGTGGCTTATGCTGGCATGGGTGAGTAAATCTCTCTAATAGAGCCAAGGGAACTCTCCAGAAAATCATGAGAAATGTGGTTGGGTGGGTAGTCTGGGCCAGCTTATTAGATGTCCTGAAAATAAGGCAAAGGAGTTCCAACTTGGTTCTCTAGACAAGAGAAAGCTATTATCACAGAATCCCAAGCTGTTGAGCACTGTGAAGAATAGTGTTTATTTAGGGTGAGAAATCAGTTATCATCTCCAGTGAACATGAAGCTTCCCTCTCATCATATTGACAATTTAATAAAAATGAACATTTCCATTTAGAATAGAAAATGAACTTCCCTGTGGCCTAGATGCACAGCACAGAACGGGAGGTATTTCTCTCCTCTTTCACAGTTCTTATTTTCTCTGTAACCCTCATGTCTCAGATCTGTGATGATGTGGTTTGCTAGATGTTCCAAAAGCTGCTAATAAGATGCAGCTATAATCTATTCGCTTGATAGCCTTCGCTAGAAACCAGACTACCTTCCTAACCCGCTGCGTTTCCTGGGTGCCTGCAGGGGCTGCACAGGGTGATCTGAGAATGCCACAAGGAGAGGGCAGCCCTCATCCAGGACTCCTCATTGAGCTTTCAGGGAACGGAAGGCACCAGGCCACTCATTGACACAAAGTCAGAATGAGCAAGAAAAATCCATGCAGGAAAGGAGACAGGAATGCTTGAAGACAGAAATCGTTTGGGAACAAAGAAGAAAAAAACAAGGAAAGACTTAAGGAGAGACTTGAGACTTGACCAAAAAAGTCACCAACATTCCTGTTCAGTGTCACAGAGGACAGAACAAGGAATAAGCAGTCTTAGAGGACAGCAGGATGGTAATATTATCTTCACAGGTGGGCTGGCATCCTAGCGATAGGGTTCAGGACATACCAAAATATAATTACAGGAGACCAGAATATGCCACTCCAAAACATGCCTCTTTGGTATAAGGCTTATTTTGAGCTGATTATTTTGAGAAACTACAGACTAGGGAGAAGCTCTGAAAACAGAGTAGAAGCTAAACTTTTGTAAGAAAAATTTACATTTATAAAGGAAATGTAAGGGTGTCTCCTTTTTCACCAGGAAGAGAGAGATGACTAAATGACTAGAGACTTTTATCAATAACAAGCCCCATCTATTGTTTACTGTCCTTTTCCCTACACCCTTCTTTCTTTGTTTCACCAGAGGATAGTACTTATTTACTGACTAGCCTGAAGTCAAAGCCACTTCTCTGAGATGTACTCTGGGAGATTTCTTATGTATACAGGGGGTATACATGCTATTAAACTTCTGCTAATCTGTTGTTACTGGGAGTCTATGAAGAACTATGAAGAGTAGAGAGAAAATTATATTTCCTCCCCTATAGTGATAAGGCCTGTTAACAGGTCAGGTTACCTAAGGAGGTTGTATGTTGTGATTGGCTTCTTTAGGTCTTAAAAATATCTCCAATTTGTATTTACACAGAAGTGGGCTAAGAAATGACTTATTAGAAGACAAGAGGATGCACTATTCAGCTTTTCCAGGTCTTTCCTCATCATATAACTATGTCATTCTCATTTTATCTGGATTAAATTAATTTAGCCCAAATTTATTGAGAGGAGTTAAATTCTGGGGTGGTTTTTGTGTGAGCTCTTGCCTTTATGCCTTTACTTCCTTATTCCCTATGTTTGAGAGTCTCTCAGGCTTATTCTGTCTCCTTCCAAAAACACACACTTGACTGCTCCAGGTCTCAGGAAATCTGCCCTTCTTCTTCCACGTTCTGCACAGTCATTGCCACACATTTAAACCGTTGAACAGAAACTGTTTTGTACTTTTTATTATTGGCCAAGTGTTGGTTTTAATCCCAATTTGTTGCCAACTCAATAAGGTGGAGGCAATATTTTATACTTCATCATTTTCCTCTGGAGTGTGCAGGATGCTGCAGTGTAATAAATTTTTTTGGGTGACAGCAAAAGAAATATCAAATAAATTATATATGTAATTTAATATTTATTGAACATCTACCCTATGTGAGGTGCTTTAAAATATTTGTTTAGCAATGCTCCTGAACTCTAGCACTTTTAGCAAATGGCTTCTAATGTAGATGAAGGTTTTGTTAACCAAGTGTTTTGTCAAAGGCAAGTCATCAGTTACTTAGAACATAATCGCATACAAATGACTAGTAAACATCAGTTCAGGTGTGAGGGCTTGGTAGCTTACCTTAATTGCAGTGTCACATCATAAATTTAGAAACTATATCCCTGAATGCTGAAAGGATTGGAGAAGAAATTTTATTTGAACCTGAACAGAAGAAATCTTGATTTAAAAAGATAACATCAGAGAATATCACATATACAGAGCATACTAACCTGACAGTCTGTCCTGACACTTCCAGTTAGAGTAATAAAGAAAGACTGCTGGAACCCAAGAGAATGACAAAAGTGTTGGTTTGGGACCAACAGTCAAATGTGTAAAGTGGTGGATTGCTTTGTTTTCTTAGACTTTTGGTGCCAAATTGTTATGTAGAAGTAGAAACCTATGGACAAATCCCCAGGTGTGATCTATTTTTAGAATGAAGAAAAGAAAACATTTAACTGTGGTCTAGAGACAAAGGCCAACTTAAATTAATCCCTGACAGAGGGAAGTTAAGGATTAGCAGGTACGTATGAGTGTTGACTTTTCAAAATCTTTCTCTTTTAGTATCATTCTTTGGAAATATAGCATCTTTAAATTTGCCATACTTATTTAAAGAAAAATATAATGACTATTGAGTAGAAGAGCATGGCAGTCCCTCCATTAACCTTGTTGAAACAACAAAGTTAGGAAGTCTGGTTGATGATGTTAAGACTTCATACCCAAGGCATAGCCATTTCTGGTTAGTGAGGACTCGGTAGTTTATCTTTATGGCAGTGTCACATCATAAATGGATAACAATTCCATGATGAATTAGACTATAATCAAATACCCAAACATGACAGGAAACACTTTCATCTTCAATGATTCAGAGGCCCTTAGGAATCCCATAGTACCCTAGGGTTTTTCTTAGGAAACTTTATGTTGATCCATGAAAACCTGGACATCTGAAGACCTGGACATTTGGACTTTCTGGTTATTTGGACATAATTACAGTCTTATCATAGATCACAAAGTGAATAATTAAGATAATAATTAGATATTTGGCATGCTTTTCTTATTTTCCAGGAAATAAGAATTTAGCCCTCCTTTATGTTCTTTGTACTTTTACATTGTTGCTATGTAATGATATGTCATGTAATGGTCACTGTGATATTTGAGTCCCAACTGTTTTATCAGTACTTCCCAAACTGTTTCACATGATATGTAAGTGGCTCCCTGGACAAATGTGGGGGGCTGCTGGGGCTCTGGCCTCCCTGTAGGCTCAAGGGTGAGAGAGACCTTTCTCTGCTCATCTCTGCTCATCTCTGCATATCTCTGCTCATCTAGAACCCATCATGGGTACCCTGATAGAGAAGCTCTGGAAATGGCCAGTTTGGGGCCACTACACCCACAGTCCTCTAACTAGCATGAAAACGAGTTCTTCCAACGACCTCACACTCACAGAACTCAGCCTCTCGGGTGAGGGGGAGACTCCAGGAGCAGAGGGGAGATGAACAGCCTCATGAAAAGAAGAAATCAGTACACATTCTCAAGTGGAGTGAGCAGAACCCCCAGCTGTTGTCCTCAGGGAATTTTGCTGACAGTATGAGAGCGGGGCATGATGTCACTGGAACCTGGCTTGGCCAGCTCAGCATGGTGTCCATGGCAGCTGATGTGTTCATCCAGATGGAAAGATCTCTTCCCCTGCTGCCCGCCACTCTGCCCTTCTCCCTGCCAGCCTGAGTGATAATTGTAAAGCCATCCAGTTCCTTTCAGAAGCAGGCCATGGGAGCCAGGGCTGGGCGTGTCATTGCTGGCATGTTGCAATTATCACCAAGGATGGCTCTGATGACAGCATATAATACATGTGGTGTTTTGTGCTAAAAAAGTCAATGCCAGTGGCTGAAAGAGCAGATCTTCCTGAGAATCCAAGCACAGCTTCAACATGATGTATGATCTGTGTGGGCCCCAACTCATGGTCACCTTTCTTTCCTCTCAAGCTTATTCCTATAAAATAGTCCATTGACCCAGTCCTTGGAAAGCCATAAAAAGAGAACATTCCTCTCTGTTCAGGACCTCTTCAGCTCTTGACAGAGTGTCAATGGGAGACTATATAAGGTGCATGTGTCAGAGCACAGAATTTAAATTTATATGAACTTGAGAGGAAAATGTTAACCTCGGAATAGGACTTCAAAAGACTCTGAATCCTAAGTTTACCATTTTGTAGCTGCATGACTTTGGGAATCTTAATTAACTTCTCTGACCTTCACTGTAAAAAAAAGTGTAATACATCACAGACTTGTTGAAATTACATGACTAAACAAATGTAAGTAAAATACCTTACCAGAAAACCTGGCCCAATGTGAATGACACATAATAGTAGCAGTTATTGCGATTGCTACATTTATAGGTATTATTATGTTAGAGCCAAGAAAAAATGTCCCCTTCACTCTCTGAAGGTTTGCTGAAAATCACTGCTAAAAGTCAGATTAATAGGAGAACAGGCATAGAAATTTATTTGATCATAATTTTACATGACATGAGTGAAAGCCTTGAGAATGAAGACCCAAAAACACAGGAAAAACTGTCCATTTTTATGCTTAGGTTCAACAAAGTATGGACAGCAAGTAGAAATATGATTGGAGAAAAAGGATGCGATCTAGTACTAACAGACTGAGTGGGGAAACCCAGCAAGATCTTCTGTCCAGATTCTTCTTGGCCTCTCTGAGCATGCACTCCTTCCTCCTGGGTATGGGACAGGATCCCTCTGGAATGAGAGGTCTTATGAGCTACAATCAAATAAGGTAGATCAAATAATGTCTTTATGGCTAGTTTTTACACAGAAAGGTGGGGGTGTAGGGGGGGAGAGTTAGAGTAATATTTTTAGGCTTTAAAGCTGGCTTTGGGGAAAAGGGGGTCTGCCTTGGGGAAGAGGAATTCTACTTTCTATGGCTAGTCTTGGGAGAGAATGAGAGGCCAGAGACAGGATGGCAGGACGAAGTCAGAGAAAAACTTTTGTTTCTGAGGCTGCTTCTGAGGGCTTTAGTTAGGGGTATGGGTTTCTTAGCCCCAACACTTGTGTTTTTAGGAAGAGAGCTCTATAGAAAAACCTATTACACATGCTTGCTTAAATTCATTTTAGTATTAACCAAATCTCAGGGTTATTATAAAGGTAATTAGAATCATGATATCAGTTGTAACCTCTTCAAACAATCTTAATATGTCGTGTTAGTGAGAAGGTTAAACAAATAATACCAAACAAGAAGAGGATGATTTGGAACACACACCTTTTTACCACCGCAATCAGTAAACTCAAAATTCCTTCACAACACCAATACATTTAAGTATCTTTTGCTGGAAAAGTTTAAAAATAATACGTGTAATATATATTTAATGTTGATATTTTTATATCAAATGCTATAGCCTTTATACCATTTATATTATTGAACCACCTAAAATAAGTTCACTTTTCACATTGCATGACTATTTTTATTTCCCTAACCATGAACTACCAACCTGAAAAGGCTTCGACTCATTCATTATTTAACATTAAGTAGCTGCCTCTCACATTGATGTAGGTTATTAATTTATAGACTGCTTTTACCTTAAGTCATCTGGTGACAAAGCACAGTTCCAGAAGTAGATTTTGAAGATAAGCAGCTTAAAGCAGGAGGATATTTATATCAGCTTTAATGTTTACTCCATAATTCATTGAAAGGAAACAACTAAAAGAAAGTTACCGTTAAGCAGAAAAATATCTTCTTCACGGTCATACTCAACTACTAAGTTTTCATTAAGTAGTGTCATTTCTGTGAGTAAAGTGACAGTGAGTAAAGACCTTGGTGTGCTGGCTATTATAAAAGGTAAACTCAAAATTCATTTAGAAATCACAGAGCAGCCGTTTTCTTGTTACGGATGCAGAGAACATACACTCAGGATAAAAATGCATAAAACCAAGAGACCAGGTCTATTAATACATTAACCTTCCAAATTAGCATTTGTAAAATGGGGCTTTCAAGGGTTTCCATTCTATTATTAATTCTCCTTTTCTTCCTTCTCCTTCTTCTTCTCCTCCTCTTTCTCCAAACACTGAGGAAAAAAAGGGGTGGGGGGGACCTTAGCAATTATCTTGTCCAGTCTTATCATTTTAACGGTGAATGGCATTACAGCCTAGTGGTTATGAGTGGACTTAGGAGTCAGTCTGCCTGAGTTCAAATCCTGGCTCCACCACTTTCCACCTGTGTGACCTTTGGGCAGGTGATTTGCTTGTCCGTACTTCAATTACCTGAACTGTAAAATCAAAGTTACAGATTAACAAAAGAATTTATAGCTCTGGGTTATTTTAGTAAATAAATCAGGCCATACATAGGTATTAGATGTTGTTACAAATGGGAGAGCTGAGGAGTTAAGGGATTTGTGCAGATTCCTCAGCTAGTCTGCAGTGGAGTCCAAGTCTTCTCACTTCTGTGCAAGACCCATATTCTATGAGTGAACAGTGTGGTAGTGGGCATAGTTCCTTTCTGCCTAAACAGCATCCATTCCTCCTTCTTCTGGTAACAGCAACCTAATGTTTCCTTTGGAGAGCCACCGGAGCCTCCCTCAATCCATGTGCATCAGCTTTATTTTAGGGCAGTGGGGGGTGTCACCTAACCCAAGTCTGGCAATTAGAGGGTTCCATCACCCCGGCCACAAGGTTTGGTTCAGGGATGGGCACGTAATTCCAGATCAATGAGATGCCATCCGGGATGTTTGCTGGAACAATGGGGAAAGAGATGCCTTTTATCCTTTGGGGATGTGACTATTAAGATATAAGATTAGAGACTCTAGTAGTAACATTGCCACCAGGAAGGTAAATCCTGAGTGAAAAAGAAGCCAACAGAGAGGGGAAGGTAATAAACAGAGAGGGAAAGCTCATAAACAGAGAGAGCAATATTCCTGATGGCATCAGCAGAGTGCTTGGATGGAGGCACACCTGAAAGTAGGGTAGCTAGTCTATCCCGTGCATGTCCGCTCAGCCAATAAAGTGGTTGCAATTGCTTGCATTGAAAAAGTTTTGACTTAAACAGGTATTTTAAAAATACATCACATAGATCTCACCTCAGGAACCAGCTCCAGTATTTCCTTGTATGAAAATACTCTGAAGCCCAAATCTTCCTGTTAGATCCCAAAAGTAATTTCAACAGACCTCCTTACTCTATGATATTTTAATACTGTCTTGGTCAGGGGAGAAACACTGGGGAGGCAGTCTGGGGTGGGCCTGGAGTCAGATCTGAGTTGGAATCTCAGACCTTCCTCTAGTCACTTACCTTCTCCTTGGCAAGCTACTTAATCTCTCCAAGCCTTACTTACCTTATCTGGATAGACTTATCGCAAGGGTTCAGTAAGATAATGCACACAAAATCCAAAGCACTAAGAACACAGCAATGATAAAAATAAGAATTACTAACATTTATTCATGTTTACTGGGTGCTAGACTCTGCTGAGTACTTTAAATGAACAATTCATTAACTACTCTTAATAACCCTATGTAGTAAGGGCTCCAGTCCTCATTTCACAGTCTAGGAAAACGAGAGGCAGAGGGGTTAAGCAGTTGTCACAAATCTGGACAGCTAGTAAGTGTTGGAGCCAGAACTTTTATTTAGGAATCCAAGTTCATTGCTACCTTGTGAAATTGTCTCTCATAACATTTAGCTGCCCAGGTTATTGCTACTGATAACTGACTCCTGACACAAGTTCAAAAGTTGCCTTAGATACTGAAGTAGTGATTTTTTTTTTTTTTTGAGACAAATCTCGCCACATTGCCCAGGCTGGAGTGCAGTGGCTATTCACAGGTGCAAGCGTAGCAGACAACAGCCTCAAACTCCTGGGCTTAAGTGATCCTCCTGACTCAGATTCACAAGTAGCTGAGTGAAGTGGTAATTTTGAAGCAATTAGGCCCAAATGTTCAAGGATGAGTTAGGACATAGGCCCTTCTCTACAGGAGTTCAGAGAGTCAGGAGTAGAGTGAGAAGAAACAAGTGTTATTTGGGGAAAGTTATGCTAACTTCTCTGAGCCTTGGCTTCCTCACCTATTTAATGGTTTTACCTATGCCCCAGGTTTTTGTAAGAGTTAGAAAAGATCATTTTGAAAAGCACAAGGTGCCTGGGACCACCATCACCATCATCATCAATATCACTACCAATAACAATGCCTATACAAACAGGCAGACCATGGTCCAAAGTTTACAAATACTCACAGGATGTGGTTTTCCATAATGATCTTTTTTAGTGAACAGATCCTGTCTTCATGTTTAAATGAAAAACAAAACAAAAATAAAGGGAAAAAAGAAAAGAAAAAGGAAAACAAAAGGCATGAAAAATCTGCAACCTGAAAGAACCTGTTTATTAGCTGCCTCCCAACAGCAAGCAAAATGGCCCAGGAAGGAAGAGCCTCAAAGGCAAAGACTGAGGGAAATTCCGCTAGAGCGTCGGTCCCTCCTCAGTGCACCATACGGAGCTTTGAGAAATCACACAGAAGAGGGCAGAGTATCGACACAAGGGAGCTGGTCTGCAGCTAAAGACTAACTCTGCTCCCTCATACAGCTCTTTCTGGATAAAGAGCTTGCTGGGCTTTCACTCTCCCCAAGTGTCCACATGTGGTCATTTTTAGGCTCTTGCTTCTATTTCTGTGAAACAGTCTAGACTGGGGGCCACCTGCAGTTCCATCTTCTCACTTCACTTTCCACGCCATGATCACATTCACCCACCCTCTTCCAGGTGGCATGTTCACAAGTGTCCCTCCCCTCACAGTGGGATTGGAGTCATCTTCCCCTCGCTTCCTTACTGCAGCCACTCAACAGCAGGATAGCAAGGGGCGGCAAGTTGGTGTCCCACCTGTGATAGGTGGACACCTCCTGGTAAATGTTGCTCAGGAACCAAAGCTCTACCTGGCAGGAAAGGTGTGAATAAAGAGCACCTTGGGGCTGGGCATGGTGGCTCACACCTGTAATCCTAGCACTCTGGGAGGCTGAGGCGGGCGGATTGATCGAGGTCAGGAGTTCGAAACCAGATCCTATCTCTACCAAAAATAGAAAGAAATTAATTGACCAACTAAAAATATATATACAAAAAAAAATTAGCCGGACATGGTGGCACGTGCCTGTAGTCCCAGCTACTCGGGAGGCTGAGGCAGGAGGATTGCTTGAGCCCAGGAGTTTGAGGTTGCTGTGAGCTAGGCTGATGCTGTGGCACCCACTCTAACCTGGGCAACAGAGTGAGACTCTGTCTCAAAAAAAAAAAAAAAAGAAAAAAAAGAGCACCTTGGTCTTGTTGGGTGGAGCAGCACAGGATCACAACTCCCTTGATCACAACTCATCTCCACCAAGAACGAAGTGTAAAGGGCTGACATATATTTTCCTAGTTTAAGAATTAAAGTTAGTGAGTAATGTACGTGTTCTTCCCAGAGCGTTTGAAAGTAATCTGTTCCAGACAGGCTCCCTGTGATAAACAAAGGTGTTGCCTAGAGGCATAACAAAGGACCTGAGCTGCAACTAGCAAGAGCAGCCCCGCGCCACTGCGGCATTGGGGGTCTGGAGGCCACAGGATAAACATATTGTTCCTGTGATTGCTGTGTACACCCCATAAGATGGCTGGTTAGTCAATGACAGGTAAGACCCCTCAAGGGAGGGGCAACCTAAGCCAAGCACAGCCACCAGGGTTCAGCTGAAGATCTTAGGGGGTCACCCTAAGAGAAGCTGGGGATGAGAAATGCCCCCTGTGGCTCACCTTGCCCATCCTTGCTAATCTCAGTCCTTTATCTATGCCTAGTGCCTAGAGCAGCCACCTTGAAATTCCGAGTCAGGGGATATCTGCTTCCCTAAGGTTATTCCGGAATTTATGGCTATCATTGCCATGCCTGGGTGGTTACGTACAAGGAACTAACTTTAATCTTTTAGAGTATAAAAATAAAACAGACCCAGTGTATTATTACTGGAGTCAACCGTTTGTATGTGTGTCTGTGTTTTTCTTTGTATTCTGCGCATTTGTGTTTTATGTTCTGTGTTCATCCTCCGTCCTGTAAACTGGCAACTACACAGAGGGTGGATAGTATTGAAATCGTTGTTGTGCCTGCTTCTATTGTTCATCCATCACAGGGAGACAAATCTTGTGCTTGTCTTGCTTGCCTTGGTGAAATAGCTTCAAAATTTATAAGCACTTTATTAGTAAGAATAAATAATATAAATAAGTAACAACGCCTTCCTGAGGGACATGTAACTTAAAGTAAAACTTTGTGTTTGTGTATCTATTATCTCTGTGTCATCTTTTCATCTTCTTGGTGATATGAGCATAGTAATAAAGATTTTGAGAGGCTTTATTGTTGATATCTTCTGTTGTAAAGTTATATATACTCATTGACAAAAATAAATCAAACCAAAAAAGGCATTAAGGGTGAAAGATCACAAAAATAATCCCACCATTCAGTACTGAGATTTTTCAAACATTTTAATATATGTTTTAAAACATATTACCAAAAAAGAATCATGATGTCTTTGTTGCCTGCCTTTTTATCAAGATGTTCTCAATATCTTACAATGTTAGAACATCTAGACCTACTTTAATCTCTTTTTAAAAAATTCTTCTATAGTATTCCATTATATGGAAGTACTTTATTTAACCAATTCCCTACTGATGAACATTTAGATTGTTTCTAAAATTTCTTAAAATGAACAATTCATCCACACATCTTTGACCAGCTATGTGGTTATTTTCTTAGGAGGTATTACTAGACTCTGAATGAAAGGGTTTTTGCATTTTTAAACTCCTTTGTTAACTATGACTATTAAATAAATTGCTTTCCATAAAGGGTTTAAAGGAATAGAATTACTTTCCACTTTGTCATGGACCAAGGCATAGAAATATTCAACGTCTTGCTGAAGGGCATTCAATTACTCAGTAATTCACTCACTGAGGTGCTTACAGAGCCACCTGTTAAAAGTCTTAATGTTTTGAAGCTAGAGAGACCCACTGAAATCACTTAACACAAATCTATTTCTATGAACAAATTGAGGAAAAAGATGTGCCATTATTGAACCTAAGGGTCTCTCTCTTCAGTCCTTCTGTGAATTGAAGGATGGTGTCTGCAACTTGACGTGAAGCCATCCTACCAATACAATGCTGTAAGCTTTAGATTTTCTTTAATGGGTCTATATTTTTCTGGTAATCAGCCCTTTCCACCACAAATTTAACAAACCCCACCATGTAGACCAGTCAGGGTGCAGATAGGATCTCAGATTTGGTGTCTGAGAACATTTTTTTTTTCAAAGCTGGAAATATTTCTTTTTAAGTCCCTCCCAGAACTAAGCCTCAGCAATTCTCTTTTAGACACTTTCCTCATTAGAAGAACCACATGGATGGTGAGTAGCAGGGCTTCCCAGATGACCACTAGGCGTCAGACTTTCCCATCTCTCCTCCAACTGTGCTGCTTACCCAGTAATTAACTCATTTGCTCAGAGTCATTAACTCTTATCTAAGGGGACTTCTTTGTCATCATATGAACATGGTCATTAGGATGCAGAATCCTAGCTGCTTTCAACAGGAGTGATTAATTCTGACTGTCTCCTAGTTACTAGCTTTTCAACAGACCTCTTCATTGCAAGGCCCAAGCCTTAAACCAAATGGGGAGGTGAAAGAAAGACCAATAACCATGCCTTTCACCATTTCCAAGTAAAGCCACTGAATGACACTACCTGTCACTGCACTGCCCTCATTGCTAATAGGGTGCTGATGTGAGAAGCTTTGAGCACCATCCATCACATACAGGACACTGCACTTGAAGTCCAGAAAAGGATATTTTCATTCATTCATTTATTCAATTATTCAACAAGTATTTATTGAACACCTGCCAGGCATTGGGTGCCCCATGATGAAGAAAATGATATGGGTTAAATATATCAGCAGTACAGCTTGTGTAATGCAAGACCACTTTCATATCACCCTCATATCCAGGCTGCTTGATCCCTCTTGCCTTCAAAGAGGATATATAGATGGGATTAAAGCCATGGTGGCCCATGTAAGCCACTTGAAGTCACTTTCTCCTGGCAAGTCATAGAGGACCTTAGTGTCATAGCCTTGTCACTATAAGAGGTTTTTTTTCAAATCACATCAAAGAACAGAAGCCAAACCAGATTTCTAGACTCTAAGAGCTACGTCATATAGGACCCCATGAAGATGGTTTTCAATCAAGACACAGATAATAGCACTAAGTAGAGTGTCCTGCAAAGAACACCTACTTAATAAATATCTGGAGACTGATGAATGAGAACAGAAAGCTTCATTTGTGAACTAGTGACACAGAGTGTCCACATATAATGCCTCTAGAAGGAAAGCTCTCATCCTAGAAACATCTTCTCACCTTCTTTTCCTAAAGAAATAGATAACACTTCTTGACAGGCACTGACTCACCTGGGCAGACGCATCAGTTGTGATTTCCCACAGCATTTGTCAAGCCTTGGCAGAATCGCTCCAACCAAAAGTGGCCCAGTCCCTGTAGTTGAGATTCATTTAGATCTACTTTAATTTGTCCAAGAAATCCTGTTACCACAGTGTCTCCCCAAGGAAGAGGGTGTTTCTCATTTGATTATTTCAAACTTTGCTTAATGCTTCAGGACCTCTTTTAAAAAAATAATGTCTTCATAAGATATAACTGTAAAACAATGAGACAAATTTCGTAAGACCTATAAGAATATAAATTTAATTTGTCTGAGATGTTAACACATCAGTCTTTGTATTCCTATTTTATAGATGAAGATGCACAACACAATATGTTGCTAACTAACTTATCTTTACCATCACTCCCCACAAAGTATTTATGAAGGACTTATTTGTACATGGAGATAGTCCAGATTGTAAATGAAAAGCATTCAGAAGAAAGAGAATTGAATCTTTTTACTTAATTCACATAGGCACAGAATATTTGTGAAGTCCTTCCTGAAAAGAAGGATGGTGTCCACAACTTGACATGGAGTTTATTTGCCTTGATATCAGCTTATATAGCATCCTGTAGAAGAAGCCTTGTACCCATAAAATACCCAGACAACCCAGATAATAATCTGGGTTATTTTGGCATATCTGCCTTGGGAATCCAAAGAAGAAAGGTTAATACAAGAAGAGGAAGGAAATATGCTTATTCCCTATTCAATGAATCTTCTCATTAGTTCTAGACACCACAAATTTACATAACTGAAGAGATGTTCCATGTTAACTATGAAAACAAGTTATACTCACAATAATGCCATAGATGTGATCTACAATAAAAAAGAGCTACGGTTCACCTAGACCTTAAGCACTTCTTCCTGTGTGTCTAGACCTCTGCATAATTTCTGTAAGCTTGTCAAACATGAGAAGTCTCTTTCTCTGATTTGTGTTATAAGTTCACTTTTGAGTAAGTTTGAGGCTATAGCATTCTATGATGGTGCCTGTGAATAGCCACCACACTCCTGCCTGGGCAACATAGACAGACCCTATCATGAATATATATATTAGTGATATATATATATATATATATATATATATTATTCAACAAGTATTTATTGTTTATTTATTAGTGATATATATATATATCACTAATATCAGTAAAGTGAAAATTCACTGAAGGAAACATAAAACATCCTAGGCATACAGGCAACAATAATCTTCCCTTTCTGATAGATGCATTCTCCCTCTTCCTCTCCTTAAAGAATACAATTTAAATAAATCAGAATTGCTCATTTCTCTTCTCTGTACTTTGAATTGGTTAAAAAAAGGAATATTTCTAAAACAAACAAGCAAACACAGTAACAATTACAAGGATAGTAATGCCAACTATCAGCATCTTCGTAATTCACAAGTCTCAGGCCTTCCTTTTCAATTTGCATCGCCAGACTCCAAACAATTCCACTCTAGAGTCTTCTCTCCGTTCCTAAGAAATGCTTAGAGTGGCTCTGAGAGCCACATTTCTTTGCTTTTCCCGCAGCTCCTAAACAGGGAAGTGACAGCATCGACTCGCTCATCCACCCCAGCGCCAGGGCAGCGCCTCACCTAACAGCCTTGCACCCTGGCTGCTGGCTCCCTCCGGTCAGTTCAGCTCTCACCAGGTGAGTCATCTGAAAAACTGGACTGGACAGCTTAGCTCTCGAATAGCCATTCCTCTTCTGTGAAGATATTTTCTGAATAAGTACCCTGCAACCACACTAGTGTCAGTTGAAAAAGAAGATTTTCACATTTCCTGTAGAAGTAGGCTAAGGAGCTGGCTTCTGAGGGTACGAGAAAACAGCAGCCCCAAGACCAGGTAGGTACTATTAAAATGTGAGCATTGAGGTATCCATAACCCTTCGTTTCTCAACTTAAAACTATATTTTGCACTGGGGGTTATAGAAGGGCTGGAGATGGGAGCTTACATCCTCATTTGGGACAGTAAGAGCTGGACTAGGAACAGGAGTTTCCAGAACACATTCCTACCCAGGACCCTACACTGCCTACATCTTCCTCACTTCTGTACAAAGCTAAGAGCAGGAGAAGGGGTCTGTAAATCTATCAGGCAACCTAGCAAACAACTCTGATTATTGCTTGACTTAGCATATTGGCTCCCCATAACTTTATAGGGTTGAAAATCTGAACAGTTCATTATAATTAATAAAATAGTTCATCCAATAAAAAGAAATGGATTTTTTATGACAGCCCTTTAATTGCCATTGGATGATGTTTACTGAGAGTTCTCTAGGTGCTCTGGGAAGTGTATTCGCTCTTTCTGTTTTTCAGCAATCATTTATATCACTGTACTCAGTACAGCTCTGTTTTCAGTGCCATGAGGATAAAAGGAATTGTGGCCTGTGGGGAGATTATAGTCTATGACAGGCTACATTGTACTTATGTAATATCCACTATTCAAAGTGATGGCCAACCAGGTGATGTGGAATGTGTGGAACGTATGTGAAAAAGGTCTGGAAGTGGACATAACGAGAAGCTCTACTGAGATGTGGTTGTCTTTAGGGGATGAGGGTTTGAATAATTTTTATTTTCTTTAGGTTTCCTTTTTTATTATTTTCCACAGCAAATATGTAATATTTGTAAATGTATGTTTTAAAGCTCAGACAAGAAAACAAAGAATTTGGATGAGGGAGCACTTTCTCAGTGCTGGGGCGGTCAGGAAGGGGAAGGGCCACGTGAACTCAGCCTTGACTCCAGAGGACTTCAGAAGGTGGCAAAGGAGACAGGGAATTATGGGAGTGTGACAGGGAAAGCATACTTCGTGTTCAGAAACTGGAAGTATCTCTGTTTGATGACAGTGCAAGGTATAAGTGGGCATGAGCCTAGAAAGGGAAGTTGGGAATTGTTGGGGACTTGTTGGGAAGACACTTAAATGCCAGGCTCTGGAGTTGGGACATGAGTCGGGAGCCAATGGGGGTCACTGAAGGTTCTATAATGCGGAGTGCTCTGGGAAGGTTCAGGCTGGCTTTTGAGGGGACAGAGACTAGAGGCGGGGAGGCACATGTGGAGGCTCCTCTTAGCACCCAGGCCTATACTGACAGAGGCTAGAACTCAGTGGTGCTTGTGGACATGGAAGGAAAGGTGGAGGCGGTGGTGTACACTGGGAAAAGGACTCATTTCACTCTGGCACTCATAAGCTCAAAGGAGAGAAAAAGCGAATGCAATTTTAACATATAATGTGTAGTAATAGCAATGAACTAATTTTCAGGCGTAGTTTGCAGAATTACCCTCCTTAATGAACAGACACATGTAAAAAGTGGATATGACTCTCTTGTTGATGGGTCATCATTTGTGAAGGCGCACACAGGAGCGGGCCAGCCAAACTAGTCCACAGGCGTCTCACGAAAATTGGAGCCCAGAGAAGAAAGGGTTCCTGGCTCTCAGGCCTCAAGGGAATGTCCTCATTAGGTCACAGCAAAAAGTTTTCCAACCTGGGGGAAGGTCACTTTCCCCTCAAATGATTGGTGTGTTCGAAATGCTGAACCGTGCAATGCCCCGAGCACATTTAGCAGATGGAGCAGAGAGGGTGGAAGGGGATTTTGGAAAATGCACTATTTCAGCAGTTTGATATTAATTGTTTCTATGAGGCATTTCCAAGCTAGACTTTACACCCATCACAGCTCAGAGATGCAAGCAAGCTGTGCTCACCTTGCTGCAAAGAGGCACAGCCTTTGTGTAACCTCCTTAAGAGGCTTATAAAATATTTATTTCAATGGGTTGGTGGTTAAAACTAAAATTCTTAAGCTTTTCAGAAATCATCACATTCAGGTGTTCATCACTTTATAGGAATCTAGCCCAAGTTTTTCTTTGCCTTCTGTCACAATTTCCATGTTATTTTTTCCGCTTCGCTTCTTGATAAAGTCTTTAAGCTTGGAGCCTTTTCTGTTCAAGCCAATCCCTACTTCTATAATCAGTGATCACTTACCTTAACCAATACTGAGGCTGGTGAGTTTTTTGGCAACCAGAATAATTCTCTCTTTAATACTAATTTCCACAAAATGAATTTTTTGTCAAATGAAAAGAGAAGGCAACATGGCTATACTTTTAACCTGACATGAACATGAGATAGTCCATATATCTTGAAGTCCAGAAAAGGGTGTTTTCAATCTGTCAGTTGGTCAATTATTCTGCAAGTGTTTACAGAATAACTCTTCTCTGCCAGGCATCAGGGACCCCGTGTTGAAGAAAGCCACATGAAGAATCTACTGGCAGTATAGCTCATATAATGCAGGAACACTTTTATGCCACACCCAAGTCCAGGCTGCTTGATCCCTCCTGCCTTTAGAAAAGTCTATATAGTTGAGATTAAAGCCATGGGCCATGTTTCCTAACCAGAGTGACTTTCCCCTGGCAACCAATGTCACTTTCTTGGAGGGCCTTAATGTCATAGCTTCAGTACTTCCTCCTCTCCTTACCTGACATCATTCTTGAGAGAGGGAGATAAAAACACCCTCGTCTCAGACATGAGGGAACCAAGTCAGAGGAATGTGGAAGAGGTTTTCTCAAATCCCACCGAAGGACAGAGGCCAAATGAGAACTCTAGGCTCCATGAGCTGCAGCATAGGAAAACCCATGAAAATGATTTCAACCAAGACACAGATAGAAAGAGCAATCAATGAATGCTCTTTAAGTTCTGCCATTTCAGTGGTGTTAGAGAAATAGCAATCATGTGGGAAGGAAAGTGAAGGACAAACAGGTGAACCAGGTAGAGTTAATCCATTGGAAATAATCCATAGAAATTGTTTGAGCTCATTCAAAGAAGGATTCTGGGGTAAAGAAAGATTTGGGTTAAATTATAAGGAAGGTGAAAAAGGTTGTGTTGACCAAAACACAGCCAATGAAAGCCATCATTTTTTTCAGAACAATAGTGCTGATTACTGTTTTCCAGACCACACCACGATCAGCAACATGAATCAATTTGTACCTTAAACCCTGCTGTTCTGCACCTGACCAACCTCCCCCTGGATTGACTGAATTTAAAAACCAGCTCTAACTTGAAAAGTTAAACAAGCATAACAATCATTTCTGAGGACCATGCTCTTGGTAAACGGGTGAGGGAAGCCATGTGTGTATGAACTGACACGTTTCCTCGTGACTGAACTGTTTCTATGGCTCAGGAGGCTCAGAGCTGGTGCACAGACGTGCCCTCGCTGCCTCCAGCCATCTATGCCCTGTCCAGCTGCCAGGATCGCTCGGACAGAGGCTGGAAAGTACATGGTGTTTTCTGCCCTTCAGCCCTCCCTGGTGACCATGCTGTCCCTTGTCTTTCAGAACAAGACCCTGCTGTTCCTTGGGCAGGAACCTTGCAATCCTGGGCATGCTGGAAACTCTCACGTGCAGATCGTTGTGTCAAGTGGACTTACATACACATTTCCCCTTAAACAAGGAGTGTTTAACCATTTGATCCAGATTGCACAGGAGAGGCAGTAATGTGACAGACACGATCAGGTAGGTTTTCTGGAGGACGATTTTGTGTTAGGAAAGAGTTAAAAAAAAAAAAAAAAAGCAGAGCAGAAATAGGTTGCACAGAACAGATCTGCCAGAAACCCTGGAAAGGTTTACCAGACAGCTTGTTGCTAAAAACATGCACAATGTTTACCAATAAGCATATTTTTAAGTCTAGGAACAACTTTTGGGAAAGAATCAAGCAGTGTAAAACTAAACCTAGTTTTTTAAAGCACCAAAAATGCCTTTCATTTGAATGGTCAAGCAGTGGCTTTGTAAGTGAGAACAGAAAAGAACATACATGGTGTGTAGTGTGTTTTTAAGGGCACTAAGCGGATGTCCCTCCTTCCAAAACAATCACATCCCTCTTCCTTCGCCCTCATCCTGCTGAGACTCCTACAATTCCACCCTTCTAGGCTTTTATTTTAGCATATAAATACCCCTCAAAGGGGTCCCCATTAACCCCTAAGATCTTACTGGTCATGACCTCTTCAGCTTGCTTTCCCAGAAAGGGAATAGGAAGGCTTAAAGTAACACCTTGCCCAGTGTAGTCTAGGGCAGCCCCATGCTGAGCTAGGCACAGATCTGCAAAAGTGGCTAAAGAAAATCCCCTTTGTAAGCACACAGCCTTCTTTCCACATCAAGTCTTTAGCTGTTTGATTCTGACAATTCCTCTAAATTTCTCTAAATTACTATTAAAAGGTACAATAAACTTGAAGAATGTGTTTAGATGATGTTGATGTCCCATGTATGTGTGTGCGTGTGTGCATGTATGCATAAAAACTTGCATGTTTGTGCAACTGCTCCCTCCGAGGTGAGGCTGACTTGCCTACAGCCTCTGAAATACATTGGGGCCAAGCTCTGCAATAGTCAGCTTACTATAAATAAATACTCCAAGCAATGTGAGTAACTTACCAGACTCTTCACCATAAATGTCCTACGTGAAAATTGACCTATGTTTGATACCTCAGCTATTTTAAAGATACACGTACAAATTCCTCAGCTCCGCTAATCTGTAAAGGCTAAAATGTCCTTGCTTCTAGGCCTGTGGGACCTTGCCTGACAAGGAAAGTTGTTGTCAGGGAATAATTAGGTTCTGTTGGAGAGGGGGAGGTAAATGTCAAGAGCTTATTATTTCTGGTCACCTTGTTGGACATTTATATTGAAACGCTGCAGAAAATAACATGCACATGCAGAATGTTCAAGACAATGAGAATAACTGCCTTGGCTGAAGGAAAATTAATCCATTTCTTTTCAAAGCATCTAGCTGATATGTTTCAGAGGGGGACCCCAAGTAAACCAAAAATATACTAGTCTCTCTGTAGAGGGTTGAACAAAAAGGCTCATTGTATAAATAAATAAATTGGTTATCAGACACAGGTGAAGAATTTACACCAATGACACTGTTCACTCCACCCAATGATAGGATCTTATAGATCTATGTATCTTTGAACCTCTGTCTCACATCCCACCCCGCTAAGATCTAAATAGTAAGCCATTAAGAAGAGATTCCTAGCAGATATAAGTGTTCTAGAATGAATGAAAGCTGGTTTGTAATGCACAGTCCCCTTGAGTAGAATATATTCGAAGCTCAGGAGAAACCATTATTTCTGTCTCTGTTAAGTGCAGAATTGCTGAATACTTCCGGATCCGAATTCCAAAATGGTCAGCCCCCAGATAAATTAAATGTAAATTAATAAAATGGTGAACATTTCTGTTTTTATGCAAATACTGCAGTTGTGGTAATATGGGGAGAACAAAATCTCTAAGAAACAAAACAAGAAGCATAAAACATGGATGTCTAGGGATGATAATCTAGGACTCTTACTCCACAGGGTGTACCATGCTAAAGACTTGCCTGAGGAATGGGGGCCGGGGTGTGTGAGGTCGTGTGCTCTATTTCATTATGCCATTTTCACTGTAACGAGCAGCATCTGTGGGTGCCCAGTGTTGAGGGTGGGCATATCTCAGCTTGAATTAGTGAGGGCACTCAGCCTGAAGGTATGAGATAGAGACCGGAAATTACAATGCATGTATCCAAATGTTGCTATGAAGGCTTTATGGCATTCCTCGACACTTCATACATTGTATATAGGCTAAAAATTTTACCGACATTCTCTCTCTCTCTCTTTCCCCAGTTATACTTTTGGTAGCTGATGACCTGCTCAGAGTTATAGCTCCTGATTAGAGAAATAAAGAAACAGAGATGTTAGATGATTTGTTCAAGGTCACCAAGAGCAGAGCTGGATTTAGAAATGACTGCTTCTTGATTCTCTGGGCACTGAGCCAGTCTGCCTCTCCTGGCTTTAGCTCTAATGTCAAATGCCTTTATTTGAATGAGTTTTTATTTCAGGTTTCTGTCTGCCTGCAAAGTCTACATGGTCTGTGTACCTCGGCCCCATTGTTGAAAGCAGCAGCTTGCTATTTCTAGCAGGCGATTCCATCCTCCTCTGGAACAAGGCCCCACTGGGCCCCAGGCCTGGCTTTGTAAGCTGGTCCCAGGTGCTCTGTGTGTGAGTGTGCGTGTGAGTGTCTGTGTGTGTATTTGTGTGGTATGTGTGTGCCTAAAGATAATCTTGAGAGCCTGAATGGGTTCAGGACCCCTGCAAGGGCAACACCTCTACACCTAATCCTATCCCCAGGAGCTAAAGTCACAGCAGCTCAGATCAAGGTCACATTCCGAGCTTTTACATGCTGCCCTGCCCTTGTCCCTGCAGAGGCCCTGTAGGGAGTCTTCAAAGGGGTGCCTTTGGCTGCAGAGGAATCCACTTGCCAATCGCTACATTTGGGCCTACTCAGCAGAATGTGCCTTCCCGAAGTGGCACGAAGAGTATAGCACTTTGTACACAATGACTCATCTGCAATCTCCAGCTAGCTGGGAATTTAAACAAAACACACTTTAGAAGGCCAGTGGGTGTGAAATGGGAGGTGAGTCTGGGGTAGAAGCTTCAGGTGAGTGGGAGGGCAGGGGACTGAGCCTCCAGGTGCATTCTCTCCCCCCAGCCTTTCAGGCAACGCTGGCTGCTCCCTCCTAATCTTCAAGCCTTTAGCTCATCTTTTCTCACTGCCCTTTTCAGCCACCATTTTAATCTTCTGCCCTGTGGCTTTTACCTCGGCTGGCCAGTGTCACTCTACTCATCCTCTTTCCCCAGCCTTCAGAGCCAGGGCCTAAGGTCGTTTAAGTCCCTGAAAATTGACTGTAGTCTCTCACAAGGTGAACCGCTGCTTTCTGATGAAGCCTCACACCCTGGATGAGCTTGCAAAAACATTCCACACAAAAATAGCCCAGTGCGTACTGTGCGAGACTCAAGAGTTTTGGTGCACTCAGCCCCAAATTGCTCCCTCTGATTTTTCTCTGTGCTTACAAGATCTACTCACGTATTTCTGGACCTTTCCAAAGGGTTCTTTCAAGTGACTCCTAGGCGGCGTGTTTACGATGTCTCCTAAGACTCACCACAGTTAGGTGTGGAGCATTTACTGACGACCACAGACTGGCTCCCTCCTCCCGGCTCACACTGGATGGGGCTGCAAAGGAGGGAGGGCTCTATGTGCAGGGAGGAACGCTACAGTGAGTGGTAGGACACACAACTCCCTCTTCTGCCTCCAAAGCTGCATTACTGAAGGGCCAGTCTTAGGAGCCTGGCATCAGTGAATGCTGGGTAGACCCTCAGGGCCCATTGTAGGGTAGACTCAAACCTTTAGAGACACCCGCTGTTCTGACTTTGTCTCCAACCAGTCCTCCGAACACAAAATAACCCTGGGGTGGGTCCCTCAGCAGCTCTAAACAGGTTGACTTTGATCATTCCTAAGCTTCAGAACCAACCCACCAAGAAGAAACTTATAGAACCAGTAAGTCATCACTCTGTTGTAGCCTTTCTAAAAGTTTCTTGTCTGGACTTTTCTTCAGGATTATCCACTGGTGGAGAACACTGTCTCCAGGTTAAGGGAAATAGAATTTACTTTGGAATATTGTGTTTTCTGGTCCAACACATTCATTCATTCATTTTGTGAGAGTGAATTGGAGAGCCTATGAGCAAAGTGTCATGCCAAGCAAAGGTGATAAGAATGATTATATATGAACAAGAGGCTTTTTGTGTGTGTGGGGGAGGAAATATATGTACACAAATATTTACAAAATGAATTGGGACATAATACATATAATAAAAGAATAATAATAATAAATAATAGCCAACATTTACATAGCACCTATTATATACCTGGCATACTTTATGTGTGTGTGTGTGTCTCTTTGTGGTAAAATAAAATGTAACACCTTAACCATTTTTAGGTTCAGAGGCATTAAGTAGTACGTTCCCATTGTTGTGCAGCCATCACCACCATCCATCCTGAAAACTTTTTCATTTTCCCAAACTGAAAATCTGTACCCATTAAATAGTAACTCCCCTCAGTCCCTGGTAGCCACTATTCTACTTTCTGTGAATTTGGCAATTAATTCTAGGTACCTCACATGAGTGGAATCATACAATATGTGTCCTTCTGTGAAGTCTCAAGCACTTTATGTGCATTCACGCACTTAATTCTAATAATGGTCCTATGAAGTAAAATTAGTATCCCCATTTCACAGATGAGGAAACAAAGACAGAGAGGTTAAGTGAGAGGCAGAAAGTAAACGTTCAGAAAGACCAGAGAGAGGAAAGATCTCCCTTCATTTGGTTCTCTGCCCCCAAGAGTCCATGAACCACTTAAAAGGAGGCAAACGACCCCCCTTGCCGGAGGCCCCTGCCCACCTGCCAGTCCCATCTCGGTTTCTCCACAAGGGCCGAGCAAGTGCAGAGGGCACTTCTGCGGGAGAGAGGAGGGACTGTGCTGAGTGAGCTAAGTGTCCCTCGTCCCCCTCCCTCCCCTCCGCACGCGGAGCGGGCTGAGCTGGTGACCCGGGCAGGATGGGAGCCAAGGGATTAATCCATCACAATGAGACGTTCTATTTCGGGCAGGCGGCAGGAGCAGATGCCCGGTGCCTGCACTTGGCGGCGGCAGCTCGCCCGGGGCGGGCGCCCACACGCACGGCCCGCTGGCGCCCACGGCTGCACTTGGCTGCCCGAGGAGGAGGAGGAGGAGGAGGAGGAGGAGAAGGGGCCGGGCGGGGCGGGCGCGTCCCTGTTGACGCCGCCTTACGGGCGGGCGTCAGAACTAGACTTGACTTGCCAGGAGCAGATGGAATGTCTTCGGTGGGCCCTTCTGAGAAACCCAGTTTCTTGCTTTAGCTATGTTTAGAATCTGGGACTGCCACCTCAATTAGCCCACTTCCCTTACAAACCCGACCCACCCCGCACCTCTCCCTCCGCCCTGCAGCCTCCCTGCCACTCCGCTTCCACCTGAATCGCAGTGGATTTTTGTCCCAAATCCACCAGGTGAGCCTGTCCCCCCAGGCAGACTCCACGATGCAATTGGGGGCTGGGTGTAAATATCCCCCACCCTCCCACCCAGCCTCTGAATTAGGAAAGGACATCAGCTCACGACTGCTACTGTCCCCAAATATGGTCCCTTCCCTGGGAGTTTCAGCGGCCAGAAGGCCAGGATTCTGGGCGAGAAGCAGCACTTCTGGCCCCTGTGGAGATGATGTCCTGGCCGCTCCCGGCTCCGCAACCTTTTGACCATCTGATCTCAGCACACGCTGGACTGGGACAGAGCAGCAGCCCCGGGATTCATTCAGAGATTGCGCCGTCCAGATATGCCAGGGAGGAGAGAAAAAAGAAGGAAACATAGCAGTTGGGTACTTCGTGTTAAGAAAGCCTGATTTTGAAATTGCTTTTTACAATCAGACTGGATGGCCTGCAACTCCTTTGAAAGTATCAGTCCCTCCCAGGCACAGAGAAGCATATTTTGGATCATGGAGGAAAAACATGTTGCGGGTTATAGTCGAGACTGTGAAAGAAAAATTCACAAATCTAGACCTTCTTCTTTCTTTCTTTGTCTGGTTTTTTTTTTTTTTTTAGGGTACGTCCTCCCGCCCCCAGCTTTCTTAAGGTATAATTGACACATAAAAACCGTGCCTATTTATGGTGTACAATGTGACGTTTTGATGTATGTATACTAAAGCTTTAAATATCTATCCAAGAGGGACATTAGACAATGTTTAGAGGGGTAAAGGGTTGTCTCCATTTTTGTGGATATTCTTGGCTTGGTTTTAAAAGTGGTTGGGATTATTTCCCCCTAAATTTCCTAATCCTTCCAGCATATCTGCCTAACCCCATTTCTACTTAATATTTTCCCCCATTTCTATTTAGACCACCCATTTCTCTAAGACTCAGACTTTCTAAAGATGTGTTAATGAAGATCTTTAATTGACCAAATGTCAGACTTACAGATCTCAGGGTAGGAAGTAAGTACTAAAAGCTTGCAAAATGCTCCCTATCACACACTTTAGAGATGTAGTGAAAATTACTGACAGAGCTTTTGGGTTCCAGCTGGACTCTTGTGGACGGAGACTTGGGCTCATCCTGCTGGCCTCTGCCCTCTGCCCAACTCCCAGGCCTCCTTCCTGGGCCTTCACTGGAAATGAACCACACAAGATGAGTGTCTTGCCAAGCTGGATGTGGAAGCATATTTGGTACATTAAGGGTACAGTAACAGTCCAGACCATGACAGATGACAGTCATGCCTCAGGTGGGTTAATGGCATTTGTTTTATGACTGAGGACTCAGAAACAATCCCCTGCTGCCTTGTCTACTCTTAACAAAGTGCTCATCTCCACCACTGTACTCAGCCCTTCACTTGGCCCGTGGATTTTTCTCTGCTTCAACCCCAGGCTCTCTGTCTTTGGGCCTTGGCTTTTCTTACAGACTCTATCTCATCCTCTTTCCAAGATTTGGAACCCCTTCTTATCTACCCAAAGCCATAGTTGGTCATTTGTATCGTGGAAAACAGCAGCTGACTACACCTTAGAAAAAACATTTAGTGCAGTGAATTTTAAACAGTGTTCAAAGGAGCCTTGGGATTCCTTCGTGGCAAGCAACAGAGGCCACTGTATGTGTGTGTGAGTGAGTTCTCATGGCAGTGAATACCTGAGAAAACAGAGGCTCCAAAAGCCCTTTAAAGACGCATGGACTTATCAACCAAAACAAAAGACAGTTAATTATCTGTTTTATGTAGTGAGGTACATCATTGTTTGATAAAAGGATTCTATTATTTAAAAAAATAATTTCAAAATCACAGTGATCCCATCCTGTGTCTTAATTATCCACAGAACAACCCCTGGGTGTACCCAGGTGAGATTTCCATGCCTACATTACTCCACACAGAAAGAGATCTCTCCTGGTTCCAGCCCTGAATAAAGAGGACAGAGCCTCATGACTCCATCTGGGCCAAGGTAGGTTATTGCCAAGAATAACCTGGCATCAGGGGATTCAAACTCTTTGCCTTCAAGCTCTGGCATTCCAGTAAGGGCTGAGTTGGAACTGTCACAGGGAAACTGAGCAGGCTGGAGACAGTAAATGCTGTCTAGCACATGGTTGGAACTAGAGCATGTCTCAAAAATGATCACAATGACTCAACCTTGCTAGCAGCTTTCTTTACACAAATATATACACGGTGCTAAATCCTTTTGCATTAGGACTTGAATTTTGTTGCTGTACATTCTTGGATTCCTAAGAATCACTCAATACTGCTCCAGTTGCACATTTTTCTTCATAAAATTTCCTCAAGAGTCTAGACACCTGTATATAAGTGAACATAATTGCTATTTTTAAGAGGAGCATGCCTGTGCTCTTCATACTTACAGTGCCTCAAAGCAGCACACACAGAACGCTATATATACTTAGGTGAGATTAAATTGCAGTTCATAAGGGAATCCCAGACTCATGCTAGATCAACAGTGGCTGCTAATGTGCATAATGCATACTATGATAATAATAATAATGATCATAATAACACTATTTATGAAGCACTTCTAAGATCTATGTAAGACAGGTTCTCTCACTATTTTTATTCTACATAATTGAACACTGATGTTTAAGTTCAAGAAGAAACACATCCAAAGTCGAAGCTTAAATGTGGCAAAGTGGGATTCAAGCAAAACTTATCTGACTCCAAAATCAATATTCTTCATCTCAATGCTAAATACTGTTATGCTGGCCTTATTGGAACCTGGGACACAGGCCTCACTAAATCGTGGTGACCAAAGTGAGAGAGTATGAGAGGACAAGAACCTCATTTTCACTTAAGCTTCTCTGGGCTTCTACTCTCAGTGCCAAGAGATTCCTTTCTCAACTGCTGATGAGATGAAATGCAGCATGAGCTCAAGAGATTTATTTTGGATCAATCAGTCCCTTGACATGTCCTTTTGAAATAGTCAAATACCCAAGGCATTGCTCATCCCCAGCTGCTAGTACCTGCCCTTGAGACACTAAGCCACAAAGGAAAGAGATTCCAACCAATGTGAACTATGGAAGACCAAAGCCAAATCAAGTAGAAAATAAGAGACTCAAGAAATGTGAATGGCATGTGAATAGCTCATACATTCAGCTGTTGTGCATTGAGTACATAACTGAGTGCTTAGCTCTGGCATTCCAATGTATCTCCTTCCCTTCCCCACGCCCATCCCTTCCCACCTACCAGTTGTCTGGCCAACTGCAGAGACAACTGGCTTCTCTCTCTCTCTCTCTCCCACTTGTGCTCTCTCTCTCTCTCTCTTTCTTTCCATTATACACACACACACACACATAAAGACTCTGAGAACACATCATTTATAATTTTACTTAGCAACTAACATGGTAGAGTGAGCTTTATGATAGGGAACTAATGACCCTATTTGCTTGCAGATGAAAGAAGGAGCAGAGTACACCATCCCCTCTGTGCACTAAGTGTCCTGGTGTCAAGGCTTTTGTCCCAGTGGGATCCATTTAGAGGAGATATAAATCAGTGAGTTATAAATGTTAAAGTTCATAAAAATCATCTGGGAATTTTATTATAATGCAGAATCTGACTCATTCAGATGGGCCTGGGATTCTGCATGGCTTCCAGGTAATGCCATGGAGGCTTGTCTGAAGACTGCACTGTGAATAGCAAAGGCCTAGAATAAGCAGAGTAGACCAGAGGAACACAGGGGAAAGAGAGGAGAGAAAGCCCCCCAAGAGACACTCCTGAGTCACTACAAACCAGGGAGAGTAGGAGGTGGGAGGATGTGGGCTCTGCCTTATACTGGCAAAACTATGTCTAAGAGAAAAATTGCAGGAATGTAATTCTCAGAATTTGTGGGTTATTCTAGGGATGTCTTGAGTCTATGTTATGAAATAGTCTAGATGAATGCTTCTCAACCATGGCTGCATTTTAGAATCACTAGATTGTTAAAAATGTATTCATGCTATGTTTCTAGAAAGAATTAGATCTGAATATCTGCAGTGGGGCCCTGGCTCCAAGTTCGTTTGCTTGTTTTGTCTTAAACTCTCTAGGTGGAGAACCCTTGGTCTAACTCTTCCATGTAGCAAAGGGTATTCTGCAAAAAAAAACCTCAATTAAAGTAGTCCGTAGCTGATCCATACTCTGACTGGGGCAAGGCTAATCCAAGAGCCTAATTCACATGAACAAATTACTCTGTTTAGCTGAAGAACTGAACGGAAGCATGGACATTTTGTTATTTGGGGACTGATGGATTCTACTTGCAGATTATTTTCGGAGTGATTCCAGGTAGACTCACAAATAGAACATTCTCAACTCAAGTCTGGTCACAAACATTCCTTGCTTCTCTTAGATGTTCTATTTCCCCCTTTCCTGTTTTATCTGTTACCTAAATGCATGCTGTTTGGATAAAGTTGCTCTTAGAAGACAAGCTCCTAGAAGTGTGGGGAGACTTTTAAGTCTTCGGCCATAGTAAGGCCACTAAGATCCATCACTGGCCTCCAGATCTTCTTGTTAATCCAGATTTATATGCTTCCCTTCAGGTGACCTAAAGATCTGAGGGGGCAGAAGTGCCTACTCCTTGCTTTGAACTCACACCCTGAGAAGCTGCGGGAAGAAGTAGTATGGAAAGAGTTGAACTTTCTGATTCATTGTTTGATCATGATTAGGCCACAGAAGCCATATGAATTAGGGTTCTCCAGAAAAACAGAACCAATAGGATATATGATTCATTATAAGAAATTGGCTCATGCCATTATGGAGGCTGAGAAGTCCCAAGATCTGCAGTGGGCAAGCTGGCAACCCAGGAGAGCCAATGGTAGAGTTCCAGTCCCAGTCTGAAGCCATGATAACCAGCCATATATACCTACATTCAAATCTGATTTTCATACTTATTAGATGTATAGCCATGGGCGGGTATTTACTTTCTCTGACTTTCAAGCTGTACATTAGCAAAATAAGAATGGTAGCGTGCAAGTCAAGTACATAGAAGCAGAGAGTAGAATGGTGGTTGCCAATGGCTAGGGTTGGGGTAAATGGGGAGGTGTTGGTCAAAGGGTTAAATAAAAAAGAATGCCCTACCTTGCAGAAAAGTAGTTAAATGAATGGGAATAATGTTAACATAACCTTATTTTGTGCATGCCTTACATGGCTCTATTTCAGAGTAGTGGGATGATCAATGAACACAGTCCAATACAAAAATATTAACATCAGAATAGCTCAAGTTTTTTTCTTACATTTTTCCATACCTGGAAGGAATATATAGTCCATAGCAAACCCTGTTTGCAATGCCCTGTCTTTTCCCATACACTTCCCTTACACCTCACAACTACTCAGAACCTTTTGTTTCAAGCTTTCCAAGTAACTCCTCTCCCAGTCTTAGAACGCAAGAATCTTGCCTTCCTTTGTTATTTCAAAATATTAAAAGGGTACACATGTTTTTATTACATGGATAGCTTTTATGATGCGTAAGTTGGGGTGTGCCCATCATCAAAACAGTGTTCATTGTACTGATAGGTAGGATTCTACACCTCCCCCTTCTTGATTTCCAATCATTTTTACTTCTCTCCATGCCCATGTGTACCCATCAATTAGTTCCAATTTATTAGAGAGTACATGTGATATTTGTTTTTCCATTCCTGAAATACTTCACTCAGGATAATGGTCTCTCATTCCATCCAAATTGTTGCAAAATACATTAATTCAATCCTTTTTATAGCTAAATGGTACTCCATGGTATGTATGTATATATATATATATATATATATATATATATATACACCACATTTTGTTAATCCACTCATGAATTGATGGGCACTTAGATTGATTCAAAATCTTTGCAACTGTGAATTATGCTGCAATAAACATTCGAGTGCAGGTGTCATTTTAATGAAATGACTTCTTTTCCTTTGGGTAGATGTCCAGTAGTGGGATTGCTGGGATGAATTTTCTATATTTATTTTATTTTTTTGAGGAATCGCCATACAGTTTTTCATAGAAGTTGTACTAATTTGCAGTCCCACCAACAGTGTATAAGGAAAGGTGAGAATCTTACCTTCCTACCCTGACCTTTTCTCCCCTCTCCAGGTCTCTAAGTCTACCCATTCTTGTAAATATGCACAACAATACAGTCAGGTCTGGCAAAGGCCAATCCCCTTTCCCACACACTCAGAGGGTGAGAAAGGGGGAAAGGGCAAGAAGCAGAGCAAAAATACCATACTCTGATATTTTATTTTTGTTTTTTGTTTTTTTTGAGACAGAGTCTCACTTTGTTGCCCAGGCTAGAGTGAGTGCTGTGGCGTCAGCCTAGCTCACAGCAACCTCTAACTCCTGGGCTCAGCAATCCTACTGCCTCAGCCTCCCGAGTAACTGAGACTACAGGCATGCACCAACATGCCTGGCTAATTTTTTCTATATATATTAGTTGTCCAATTAATTTCTTTCTATTTATAGTAGAGACAGGGTCTCGCTCTTGCTCAGGCTGGTTTTGAACTCCTGACCTCAAGCAATCCGCCCGCCTCGGCCTCCCAGAGTGCTAGGATTACAGGCGTGAGCCACTGCGCCTGGCCTGATATTTTATTTTTGTTCTGCCACATATGTAAAGAATTTAGCAGTACCTGGCACAGAGTACATGCCCACAAAAGGGAAGCTACTACTATTTTATTGCTATCATGTGTTGCAAGATAAAATAAGAATTATACTCCTTTTCTTTATAAATACGCAGTCTGCTCAACTAGATTGCAAGTTCCTTTAAGGAAAGAACTCTTTCTTACACTTTTTTATACTTCTGTATCAGTGGTACCCCCCCCAAATTTTCTATAGTGATGGAAATAGTCCACCATCTGTGCTGTCCAATATGGTAGCCACCAGCTATATGTGACTGTGAAGTACTTGAAACATAGCGCAAGTCAGAAATTGATTTGTTTTTATTTAATTGAATTTATACAAAATCCCATGGGGCTAGCGGCTACGGTAATGGACTGAGCTGAAAATGCCTACCACAGTGCTTTGCACAAAGTAGATACTCAGTAACATTTATCCACTAGATGGATGATTAAATGATTAAATGAACCAAACTATAAATCATACAGTTACAGTGCTGCTATGTTTCCAAGTAGATAATTTTACCTAAGTGGGAAGTAGCTACTTTCTTGTTGCTGTTTACTCTGGAGTAGTTTTCTTGCCACAGAAAAGACTAGCAAATGCTAAAACAAATAAACAAGATTCTATATTTAGGTCTCATTTTTTCTTTGCTCAGTATAAATTCATTCTGACTCTGAGGTCAGCCTCTTTTGTTTTTCAGAAATAAAAAAAAATGTAATGTACATGTTTTATTTAATGGTGAGTTCTCGTTATGACATTTCCCTTCAGGAATGAAAGAGGAAGAGATAAGTTATTGTCAATGCAGCCACAAGCAAATCAACCATCTTCCTCAACACTGAAGAGAAATGTCAAAAAAGATTAATCATGCATTGAAGATGCATGGACATGTTCTCTCTCTCATATATTGAAGGACTGGGCTGTGTTTAAATACTGTAGACCATTATTAGATAGTCACAGGCTTGGCAGCCTTGAAATAATGTTTATATCAGTAGCTCGAGACCTCAACTTCCTCAATACAAATATAGAAATATTTCATTGATAGTTCGTCCGAATGATAGTTGTTTCTAAGAATATTGAAAATATCCTTTTAAAAATATATCTTCATGTTGTTGAATTTATTTCTTTTATCATTTTGTGTTTTTAAAGCATTACATTTGAACAAGGCTGTATCATTTTGGATCCGTTTCTTCTTCCCAGGGAGACAATTAAAAAAAACAAGAAAAAAATGAAATCATAAGGAGATTCCTAAGAACATGGGGAGGTGGAACATTATATTCAACCTGAACAGAGGAGCCTGGGATCTTAAACACAGGGTAACCACACAACATATTGCTAAGTGAAATAAGCCAGACACAAAAGGACAAATACTGTGTGATTCCACCTACATAAAACATCTAGTATATGCAAATCCATAGAGACAGCAAGCAGATTAGAGTTACCAGGGGCTTGAGGTAAGGAAGGAATGGGAGTGATTGCTTAAGTACAGTTTCTGTTTGGGAGGCTAAAAAAAAAAGTTTTAGAAATAGATAATGGTGTTTGTTGGTCGCACAACATTGTGAATGTACTTAATGCTACAGAATTGTACACTTAAAAATGGAAAAGTTTGTATTACAAATATTTTAGCACACACACACACAAAAGAATCAGTAACTCAGTAGATCTCACATAAAAGAGAGAGGCCAACAGCCAAGTTTAACCCTGAGTATTGAGCCCAGCAAAGTCATATTAAAAACATCTAACTTCAGGACTTTGATTCTGATATCCTATAAGGGAATAAGGCTGTCCTCTAAACAACTGCAATGAAATAATAACCAATGGCATTACATCAGAGGCGGGGGAAGGATGTTAATAGGGTTTGAGAAAGGCTGCTGGAGGGCACCCTTCACCTTTAGGTGATACACTGGAGTGCAACTGTATCCTCCCAAACATCTCTTGGGGCCACCGGCAGAAAAAGAATGATGGGCTGGAACCAGTGAACTGACTTAACGTGGCATTTCTTGAGTGGTGTGTGGCTGTGCAACGATATTAGTACTAGAAAGGACTCTCAGGCCATTTTTCCATCCCTTTGACTTGAAGCAGGACCACAGTTAAGCCACCTCAAGCTGAGAACTTACACTTTTTCTGAAGATCTCAAAAAGGATCCCCTGGATTTCTAATCCACATCTCCCAGCTGGGAATTTAAACTGGGCTTTTTTTTTTTTTCCTGCCCAGTTAGAAGAAGACAAGAAGCCACCATCACCCTGTTGTTATCCTCTTCGGTTTCTCGCCTGTCGTTCACAACCCAGAGCTTAGAAGTGGACAGGGTACTTCGGGAAGGGTGTAACTCATGGTGCCTTGCATTTCCTGTGTGTAGTAGTCACAGTTCAGGCAAGAAAACAGAGTCAAGATGATTATTATGGGAATGAAGAATTTAATATAGAAATGAGACCATACACAGTGTGGAGAATCTGGGCAGGATCTGGAAGCAAGAAGCAGAGAGGCAGAGAAAGTGTCACCAACCCGTCCAGTCGAAGCACTGACATGGATGGAAATGTGGGACCTTTCAGACAAATTCAAGAGCCAAGCATGGCTGGTTGGCAGAGTAGGGCCATCCAAGAGGAGTGGGTGGAGAGGTCTAAGGGAGAATGTGCCTCCATGCAGCAATGTGGGCCACAGCAAGCACCGTGGAGGGCCTGGTGACATTGTTGGTCAGCAGGGCCAAGATAGGGAAGATGACCCAGAAACAGAGCAGAGGAGCACAAAGACCATCTGGAACCTGCCAGACACCTCTGCTTCTGCCCATCACCACAAAGACCGCAAAATCTTCCGTGAGTAACAGCTGATACTTTGCTTCCATCTCCTAAATTGCACACAAGTTTCTCCTTTGACTCTAACTCTAACTCTAACCCATCTAGTTATCAGCATAGCTAAGTTGAAATAGCATAACATAGCACATTGTAATTACCTTTCTGTGGCTTTCAACTAAGGTTTAGATTCAAGCTTAAATAAACGCATTGAAAACCTTCCTTAAATTTGCATGAAGAAACCACTCGCCCATTCTATTCTTGCTCTGTTCAGGTGATAAAAAGATTGAAAACTGATTTTAAAAATCAGGAATAGTTCACTTTTTTCCTCCCGACACTGTTCATTGACTTTGTGATAATTGATGGTAGAAAAAGATAGCGTTTTGTTGCTCCCCACATCAGGCTGAGTCACGAGACTGTCATCCCACATTTTCAGTTCAATTGTAACGCATTATCCACCAACAAATTGAGCAGTTTCTAAATTGGCTGTCTTTACATAATGCCTGACATCCAGAAGTAGACTATTGTTTGCAGTGACAAAAGCTTGGACACAACCAAAATATCCATCATTAGGACAGTGGTTAAATAAATTGTGGAACAAACGTGCAATGGAATACTGTACAGCCTTTGAAAAAAAATAAGGCACAGTATTGACAATGGAGCCATCTCAACATAATTTTGTTAAGTAAGAAAGGCAATGTGAGAACAGCATGCATGGCACCACTTAAAAAGGGACACATACAATGCATAAATGCACATAATGTCTCTTGCCTCTGAAGAAAGTGACTGGAGATGGAGTGGGAAAAAGAATATATTGTTTTTTAGTTTTGTGCCATGTTTGTATTGCTTATTGGATAGATATAGATAGAGAGGTATAGATAGGTCCATGTTTGAAAAATGATTTGCTCTGTATTATAGTGTAATATATACACTATATACGCTGCCTTATTTTACCTCTAAATCTTCTATTTTTGGTATCAAGGATGCCCAGGAGAAAGAAATGTCATAATCCGTATCATAATTAGAAAAATGAAATTTACATACTAAGTTAGTGTACC